GTGCAGTAGATGATGGCTATGAATTATTAATCGAAGTGCCGTGTTCAATTACCATTCGAGTTCATTATATTCATTTACTTGGGAAAGATATGAATCCAGCTCTTCTTCCCCAATTATGGGTTAATTAGTAAAACTTGTATCACCTTTATTGTCTAAAAACATTCTTACACTCTAGAAATTTTTACCGGTTTTGAATAACATGCAATATATTGATAAACCGTAGAAAACGAAAAAAACGACAAAAACGACTTCGAAGTAACTGAAATTAAGCCGTAGATATCTGTGGTTGTGTATTTTGGGATATTTTCTTTTACTTCACACTAAATAATGTAAAGTATCTTGTCGCAAATATTAATTCACACCAAGAAATAATAAAATTTAAATCAAAGTTTTTTAATTAAATTTTGGCACTCTTTTGAAATTATGAATTTTAGATCAAAATTTGTTTACTTTGCCTTGCAACAATTCCAACCCTCGGAATGAAAAATTACCAAAAATCAGTGAGTTCTTCATATTTCATAAGTTTGGATGATATTCGAGCTACTTACAAGGAATTTTTTACAAATTAAAAAAAAAAGTATCTGTTTTTGGCTTATTTATAGAGGTGAGCGTGAACGTAGAACCCCCACACTTAGAAACTCGAGTCGCCCACATTTAGGGCGGTCGCAAAGGTCAACTTAACCGAACTGCAATGGATGGGTCTTCGTTCTGGGAGAATTTGTCGTGAATTTTAGTAAATATAAATTCTTTTTATTTTGGGGTGAATTAATATTTTGAGGCGAATTAACAGAAAAGATCCGTATTTTTTTATGATGAAATTCTCCGAACTAAAAGCGCGAGCTGTAACATAGTAACCAACAAACTATCTTGCATGCCGTTGATAGGAAGTTTGTTCTGCCTTCGATGTAGCACTGCTAAGACTATGTTGTTGCTGTAATTATCTCTACCTTGTGAAAATATGTAAAATGTCATGTCGTTAAAAAGTAATCTTTTCTTTATTTTTAACTACAACATGTCGTTCATCTATGTGATTTTAAAAGCTGGCATACGCCATTCTCTATTAAAATGATGTCGAAAATATTCCTGTATAAAGTTTTATAATGAATTGTTGCAACGAATTGTTAAGATATTTATGCAAATGTTAGTATGTTGAGTTTCGGTTTATTTTTATTGTTTGACAAAAATTACTTTTCTTACTAAATTTCCCAAACGCTTGAGAGCCCCTCCATATTGATGGTTAACGGGGTTGTGTGAAATGAATGGAAGAGGAAGTGATAAGAACTTAGAATTATTGGTATATTGATAGATAACAGTTGACCATCAACTTGAAGATTTCAAGAGTGAAGTGTTCAAGAAAGCAATGTTGCAGATGTATGTTCCACAAAGTAGGCGTCCTTAGGAAAAAAATTCTTCTTATATTTGGAACATAGAAGCAATAAGGACGATTCGACTCTGTGGAAGTAGAGTGACGTGTCCCAGCATTAAATGTCTGAACTGGTGGACTAGACATTGGATCTCTTCCGAATATTTGCCATGGAAATAACGACATGCTTTTCATTTTGTGTCTGTATCGCAGAGATGAAAATAAGTCTTCCCCCAAAAGACTAAGAAAAATGAGCTCTGTCAAGACTTAAAAATGAGGTTTGAGCAACTCCAATTCAGATATGGCATCAATAGTCCATTTTTGGTTTAATCTGACTATTATAAGAATAAATCATGGCAGAAAATGTCAGATATTTCCTGGAACGATGGAATCCACCGAACGTTTTTCCCTGCAGCATTAACAAAAGATTGTATATCTGAGTGAACTTGAGACTCAACAGAAGTTCAAATCATGCGGCATCGGCAAGAATGCAACCGTTCTTTGTTACTAGAGAAACGTGTATTTGCACTATTTACATTTTTCGGGCTGTTGTTCACATCTTTGTTGTCATATTTACAACGTTTCGGCCTTTTTCAGGTGATTTGAATTTCAAATCGAACTCTCTATTCCGTCCAACGGGGTAGATTGTTTTAGTTCTACGTCTCTTCCAGATATCTCAGATTCTGTTATTTCACGTTAGTAACTTAACTCCACTCAACTGACGGGATGGAGTAATGTATAACGGCTCGGATTGAGAGCCGAGTTCGAATTCCAATCGAATCCGTTACATTCACTTACTTGGGAAAGGTATTAATTCTCTACTTTTCCCATCTCCAGCTATGGGTAGGATAGACCGAGTTCTATAGCCTTGGGTGGCAACTAGTCTACCGCAGTAAGAAATGGCAAACTAATGCGGGAAAAAGATCTGCCTCGTCATTCATGTTGATACATGATCGCCTAAGCGTGTATCACGCTTGGCACATAAATAATTGAACTCAATTCCCCAAGTATTTTGTTCATCTATAATGTGAATAACATTGAACACACAACTCAAGCCACCGGATTACTTCAGCCAACGCTTTTTTCCATTGGGACCATATTAAAATACCTCATCTCAGAAATATAGACAGATAATAATGAAACATAGTTTGAACGGCGATAATGGATCGATAGAAATGTGTGTATTAAGGTATTGAAAGTAACAAGCCAGTTATTTCCAAATCGACATGTTAGAGCTTGAGAGGAGAGATCATGTGTAAGCCACCCTTATGGCCTTTATACGTTACACCGACAAATTAAAGTTACCTGCCAACGTGTAACGTCATATCGACGTTATTTCACGTGAACAGATCAAGGACAAGATCTGTCAAAATTTGCAAGCTACTTTCACGGTGTTTAGACTTCATACCGACAAATTCAATTTACCTGTCAACAAGTAACGTCATATCGATGTTATTTCTCGCAAAAAGATCTAGGACAAAATTTGTGAAAATCTGCATGCCACCCTTATGGCCTTTATACGTCACACCTACAGATTCGAATTACCTGTCAACGTGTAACGTCATGTCGGTGTTATCTCTCGTGAAAAGCTCTAGGACAAAATTTGTCTATGTAACTGATGGCTGACAGGATATATTGTTGTCTGTGAACAGTTATTTGCGCACAATTTCATCAAATGTTTCAGAGCAATGATATTTCTCGTACGATGTTTCGTCACTACCTTACAAGTGTTTAAATTAAAGGTTTGTTGATGCAAGGGATCGATTAATGCATAAATATTCACGATTTATTGATAAGCAGAGAGAATGAAAAAAGAAAAAGAGATAAAGAGACTTCAAGGGAGAGTGCTAACTGTGTAAGGAATGATAGAGGAAATTTATATATGTATTTTTTGTTGGGGTCGCGCAACTAAATCGTAATTGTTTTTTTGGTAGCAAAGTATTACTGACATTCGAGTGGACATGAAAAACACTAAATGTCAGTGATATGGTTCACTTGCTTCTTTGGTTGGTGAAGGGAGGAATTTTATTTTATTTCCTCCAGATTTGTCTAAGAACTCACAAAGACTTTTATAGTCTGCCATTCTTTCCTCCTTTCAGCACTTGTCATCCTATCCCAACTGTCTCTTTGTAGTTGATTTTTTTTTGTCTTTTAATGGTTTTATATTATTTCTTTCGTTTCGCTAAAAAAAAAAAAATAGGGTAAACTTTCAGAACCGCCTTAGTTAATACCCAAGAGCAGGTGCTATGTGGATGTGCCTAATTAGACGTTGAAAACATGATTGAAAGAGTTAAGACCTTAGACCAATTTGTACAATTATGGTCCAGCGTCACTCAGGCGAACGTCTGGTAACAGCACCAGGTGGCGCTAACACTTCTAATTTTAATTTTATTGTTTTTGCTTTGTTTTTGTTTTTTTTCAAACTGTTTTCTCCGATTAAATTGATCTATTGCTATTGGCGTTTAAATCATTTCATCTCATTTTTAAGTAGTTAATTTATTTAATTTGAATTTATCTTTCCGATGTATCCTTTTCAATTTCACTCTCAGATTTTTTTACTTATTTTTTCAGTTTTTAACCAATTAGATTATTTCGATCTCCTTCTATCATATTCATCGATCCACCTAATTTTGTTTACATTGGACCATTTTATTCTCAAATGTGATCGTTTCTTGCTTATTTTCGCAATTATTCAAATATAAAACCTACCTTTTTGTCTTTCAATCGTATAATTTTTAGCTCAGCCTTATCATTTTCTGCATAATACATTATCGCTTTTCTTTATTTCTATTCCCAATATTTCGTAACCTTAATCTTGGACGTCGGATTGGCAAAATGTGTGTAGGGAGTGTAATATAAAGATGATTACTGTTTGATACCATTCTTCCAAGCATGGAAAGTTGAACTCTCTAGGAAAAAAATATTCAAACTCCATCCTTTTTACCCTGTCTAGAACACTGACGTCAGAAAAATTCTAGTACGAAATATATAAATAGTTCAAATATGTGGAAAGTCAAGTTCTTATTTACACAAACATACAAACAATACCTTTTTTTTATTATTAACATTAAAAAAAGATTGTTAATTCATATTTTCCAGTATGAATTCATGATGAGGATAACTGTGGAATGAAAGAATTCTTCATTTCACAGATATAATATGCCAAGTTTGAATTGATAACGTTTACTTAGTACAGACAGACAGCGTGTGCATAGAGAAGATCTCCAGTAAATATAGAAGATTAGAAAGAGAAGTCAAGCCGTGTTATGTTTTCGCATTTGCATTATTTCTGCTACACAGGTTTTAAGACAACTAGAAGACCTGGAAGACTCTGAAGAGAAACTTAGACAAGATAGTAATAGAATGTAAAAAGAAAGAACTAATTATTAAGTGCCAGTAAAAGATACAGCCAAAACTGTGAGATATATATTGGGGACATTAAAACCAAGCAGGGTTGTGACGTAAATCACAAGGTAAATCTAAAGGCTCTTTAGGAATAGCGGAAGACGTTTTCCAGAAACTAAGCAAAGTATTAAGTGATAAGAAAAGGTCTTCCTTCCTTTCTTATATAAACATTTCTTCATTCTTTTCTTTTATTTAAATTGTGTGTTCCTTTCATGCTTATGCACAACTGTAAATGTTTCTTTCTTTATATTTTCCTTTCATGTATCTACCATTTAATCTATCATACTTATTTCTTCTTTCGCTTTCTATCTTTCTTTCTTTTTTTCTTTCTTTCTTTCTTTCTTTCTTTCTTTCTTTCTTTTTTTCTTTTAAGGATTTTTTCTTGTATTTTCCCTTCAAGTTTAAACAATTATTTCTTTCTTTCTTTCTTTCTTTCTTTCTTTCTTTCTTTCTTTCTTTCTTTCTTTCTTTCTTTCGTTTAAGGATTTTTCTTGTATTTTCCCTTCAGGTTTAAACAATACTTTCTTTCTTTCTTTCGTTCATTCTTTTTTTTTCTTTTTAGGGATTTTTTTCTTGTATTTTTCCTTCAGGTTTAAACAATTCTTTCTTTCTTTCTTTCTTTCTTTCTTTCTTTCTTTCTTTTTTTCTTTTTTTCTTTTAAGGATTTTTTCTTGTATTTTCCCTTCAAGTTTAAACAATTATTTCTTTCTTTCTTTCTTTCTTTCTTTCTTTCTTTCTTTCTTTCTTTCTTTCTTTCTTTCTTTCGTTTAAGGATTTTTCTTGTATTTTCCCTTCAGGTTTAAACAATACTTTCTTTCTTTCTTTCGTTCATTCTTTTTTTCTTTTAAGGATTTTTTTCTTGTATTTTTCCTTCAGGTTTAAACAATTCTTTCTTTCTTTCTTTCTTTCTTTCTTTCTTTTAAGGATTTTTTATTGTATTTTTCCTTCAGGTTTGAACAATTCTTTCTTTCTTTCTTTCTTTCTTTCTTTTAAAGCATTATCAAACATTTCGTGTTTATTTCTTTCTCTTAATTTATTACATTTCTTTTCTGTCCTCTCTTGTTTTTCTTTCAATATTTTCACTCTCTCTTCAACTTCTGCAAGATAACCTTACCAAATTCTACTACCCGTTCATATTACAACCGGATACCCTGATCTATTTACGCACTTTGAGAACTGTTTACTGTTCGAAGCATTTCTAAGTCTTACGATCGCAACATAATCGACTAAGGTTGATGGATTGGACAGATGTCTTGTTTTGTTTTCGTGAATGGTAATGACCTCATAGGCCGTTGAAGACCAAAATGTAGGTTGGTTATTTATTGACACTTGGATAAATATAAGAAAAACAAAGAGCATATTCTATCTATCTATCTATCTATCTATCTATCTATCTATCTATCTATCTATGTTTCCGCATTATCTGTTTAACTTTTTATTTAAATTGCCGTACCAAACATTTCCTCTGTATCTATCTAATTTTCCCTCCCTCTGTCGATTTCTTCCCAACTCTCACTCACGCATTTTCTCTGTATATATATATATATATATATATATATATATATAATCATTATTATTACATTGTTTAAATTCTCTCTCTCTCTCTCTCTCTCTATATATATATATATATATATATATATATATATATATATATATATATATATATATAGGTAATGAAAAAGTTTGGTAATCCCCATGAATAATCCCAAGGAGGATGTAATCCAAAGCCTCAAAGCAGAGCAAATATTAATTTAATTAGAAAATAGACAAGCTTAAGATTGATTATATTTTAAATTCCCAGGAAGGTGTTTTTTTTTCCTGATTCCTCAGATCACATTTCAAAGAATAAAAAAAAAATGCTTTTTATGCTTGTTAATGTGATCCGAGTAACCAGGAAAAAACACCTTTCTGGTGAAATAAAATATAATCAATGGATATAAGCTTGTCTGTTTTCTAATTAAATTATATATATATATATATATATATATATATATATATATATATATATATATATATAGGCAGCAATTTTCTATTAATGCATGTTTCATTAAAAGTTTTGTCTATTTATTTTAAGTAAGTATTTTAAGATAAGCTTAATCACTTTATCGTTGAAAGACGAAAGGAAAACACCATATTGGTACATGTTTAAATTCAATCTAAGCTTTCGGCTTACACAAGCCAATATCAAAGATGACAATTTCATTAAATCAGGCAACAACGGACGAATCAACAATGATAGTCCGCCCGTGCTGCATGAAAATTTCCAAGTAACGACAAACTCGTATATACGAGACGCGGAAGCGAAAATCGCGTCGCAGCTCGTGACGTCACACATGACCACGCGAGAGTGAAAAACGAGAAGTATTTCGTATGGGAAGCCGTTGGTATAAAACAATGTCTTCTGTTATAAATTATAGGCATTTAAGGATATTTGTGGAGATTTCATTGCTTAGAATCAATATCAGTATCAATATGGTGTTTTCCTTTCGTCTTTCAACGATAATGTGATTAAGCTTATCAGACAATATGAAAGGAACTTACGTAAATAAATCGACAAAACTTGTCTATATTATTTAATGAAGCATGCATTAATATATATATATATATATATATATATATAATATATATATATATATATAAAGATATATATATATATATATATATATATATATATATATATGTGTGTGTGTGTGTGTGTGTGTGTGTGTGTGTGTGTAGATACATGTACATACATACACACACACACATATATATTATTATTATTATTATTAGATTGTTTAAATTGTCCTGTAACACTAGTTGAAGATAGTACGTTATCGGTGATGAAGCGTATGTATATATATTGCGGGTTTAGGAATAAGTGAAGGTATAATCAAATCATGTCTGATGACCGCTTATTAAATGAGCACGCCAGTTTCCATGCAGCGTTGATTTCTAGTTTCAAAATTATTCTATCTATCTATCTATCTATCTATCTATCTATCTATCTATCTATCTATGTCTCTCATTTCTCTCTCTCTCTCTCTCTCTCTCTTCATATATATATAGATATATATAATTATTTATTTAAAAATATTATTCCAACACGCTACATAAGAGTTCTCATGTTTCTCATATAGCGTTTTGGAATCATATTTTTAAATAAATAATTATATTTATGCTCTACTTTTGTATCGAGCACTATTTTTAAAAAATAATAACAAAAATACTAAAGAACTTTGGATTATTTAACTAACGAGTTCTTTCCTATTTTCTATATTTTTTCACACACACACACACACACTCACACACACACATATATATATATATATATGTGTGTGTGTGAAATATATATATATATATATATTATATAAACAAAACCTAAATCGATCTCCCTATCTATGTATTATGGCAGCAATCCTTCTGTTAAATATGCATCTTAAGTAAGATATGTCAGTATACTCATATTTTTTTTATCTCGCACACACAACATTAATATGCAGAAGCCATCTGCAACTGAAAATTTGCACGTGTTTTAGAAAAAAAAAACATATTAAAAAGTTTTTTCATTAAAAAGGTTTAACGAAGATGAAGTCTTTGTGGTGTTTATAGATGAGTACATTTAGAACATGTGATGTTTCCCCGACATAAACATTTTTGCATTGTAAGCAATTTATTTGAGAAATCCCGGCATTTGAATTAGTGTTGCATTTATTTTTCTTCTCACTTTCATCTCAGATAAGCTACAAACTTAATAAAGACAAAGTTATATCGTCAAAATCTTTATGTTATTATTAAGAACAAAGATCAATGAACGTTTTGATTATTAAATTACTCTTTTTACAACCTTCGAAAGTTTGGTTAAAATTCTTCTGTTTTTTGCCTCACTGTGGTGGCCAAAGATTAGCACAAGACATTTTAGCGTCTTTTTTGCAGTGTAAAACACATTGATTTGAAAATTCTAGCAAATATCAAATAATTTTCATGCAAATTTCTGGACTTATTCACAAATGAATTAAATTATTTTAGATATGTTCTTTTTTAGATAGTTTTGGCCAAAATATTTTTTATATCTAGTAACACCTACTTATAAAATTTTATGAATTTTAGGGAAATTAAAGTCGAGCTTCATGTTTATATTATTTAACTATAGTTACTAATCCTAAATCGAAACGCTTATTTCAAGCGGAGATATCTCAGGATTTTAAAAATTATTTAAAAGTAATTTTTATTGTTATATATTTATAAACGTGACAATTTTTGTAGATGCCGTTGTTTTGATTATAATAATTTATAAAATTTTATTTTTTTTTTTAAATTCAGCCTTGTTTTGTAGAGGTTAGGTTATAATGTTATTAAGTAAAAACTATATTTACTCATAATAGATGGAAAAGTTTAGTACTATTCTTCGAAGCCTAATATTTTGTAAAGAATTTTGAAATTTTTTGTGTGTATAAACGTGACGATTTTTGTAACCACGGACGTCCATACACAACATTATCGGAATATAATAGCTATAACTATAGCTAATTTAAAACAAAAGTAGCTAAAATTCAATAAAACATTAGATTACGGAGAATATTTTCCTACGTTTTTAAGATTACTGCGTAGAAAAACGTCGCAAACGTTATATTCTTCAAATAAGTATTATAGTTATGCCCGGAGTTGAAAAACATTAGATAGACTTGCGTCTGTTATTCAAGCTGCCAAACTGTCAACATCTAAAATAAACAGAATGAATTTTCTGCGATATTTTAAACTTAAATATAGGGTACATTGACAGTTATTTAGCATGTATGTTAAACTAAAGAACAAAAATCAAACAAAATTATAATATGGTGCTCAAGATTATACATCACAAAGTGTTATCTGAAGACGACATATAAAGAGAAAAGAAGGAGAAAAATCAATACCGAAATGTGTGTGCACGATGCGAAAATTGGGCCTAGATAAAACACCCAACAGACGAGTAACGTGCACACAGTTTTTAACAGAAAAATAAGAGATAAAAGCACTAAAAGTTTGATCGATTGATTTATTTTTACGGTTTATCAACGGCAGGTTAATTAAAGCCAGAAAACATTTTTATATTCTAAAACATTTGAGGGCGGATAATAATGATTTACTGATAAAAGGCTTATTAATTAATCACGAGATGAGTCGAGAGGAGGTGGATTCATACCTTTCCCTAAGGTATTTGCACGGAAGTGAATGCAACTATCCTGACTGAAATTAGAAACCGGCTTTCCGAATTTCCAATTCCAAGTTGTTTGCATTACAACATCCCGCACATCCAGGCTTATAGCTTCTGGTATTCCCAAGATGTCATCCATCTAAGTACTGACCAAGTTCGACGTTGCTTAACTTCGGTGATCCTACGATAACCGGTCTTCCAACGTGATATACACGTAAGCCTACAAAAAACAAGATAACAAAGTGGAATGCAAATAGTTAACCATAACACCAGCCTTGGGCGTGAATATGTTATTCTGTTTCGCTATATATCAACTCGTAAGACAATATAGTGCTTAGAAAGTTCATTATCTCTTTAAACAATTATCTGAATTGAAAGCAATAATACTGTGAAGTGTTTCTGGACGTTTACTTAGCAGAACGTACCAACCACCCAATATCATCAAACATATATATATATATATATATATATATATATATATATATATATATATATATATATATGCATTTATATATATGTGTGTGTGTGTGTGTGTGTGTGTGTGTGTGGTGAAAAAAATGTGTTTATACATTTCTTCGCTTTTGTTTCTGTTTAGAGTCAAGTTGGCAAAAGAATTGCGGAAGTTTATATATGAAAACAAAACTTGATATAAAAAAAATAACTTATGGATCGCTACTGCAAGTGTATCTGGTTCCCCAAGAACATTCTTAGCGTAAGCGTTGTTCTTTCATATAGACTTTGGTATTTCCTCATTTTTATCTTTTTACTTGTTGATGCCGCATGAAATGATATTTACATGTAAATTCAGAAGCAAGGCTACGGGGAGCAGATTCTCATTAAGACATGTTTTATTAAAATGTGACAAAATCTCTCACAGAAAACCAAGGAAAAACAAAAGTTTTTGGAAAAAAATATTTAAATAGATGTCAATGTTTAAGAAAAAAACTTATTAAATGTAAATATAATATGCTTTTTACATTATTCGGACTGTTGCTCTCATCTTTCGCTCGCTGGGGTAGACTGTTTTAGTTCGACGTGGATGTCAATTATCAGTTATCACCTGTTAATTCCCCTCTCCAAGTTCTCTACTGACTTAACCAGGTATTAAACTCACATCTATTTGGGTCCTGTCACTGAATCTAACCAACGCCTTTATCCTCTGTGTCATTTGTACTTAAGGAAAGTACAACGGCCGAAACGTGATAAATATGGCAACAAAGATGAGGACAATAGTTCGAATAATTTAAATAGTGTACATAATACCTCATCTCAGAAATATAGGCAGATACTGTAAATATAATGTTAGTTAAATCGAAATCTTCATAAACATTTATACAAATTTGAATTCTAGGATATTGGTTCCAATGGGTACGCATAGTAGATGGTAGCAGCAAAAAGCAAGAAAAGTCAAGTTTGAAACATTCTTTTTTATATAAAAGCATTGACAGCGAAAAGCTTGAAAATGATGACTCAATTTATATATATATATATATATATATATATATATATATATAGGCAGTTATTGTGTGTGTGTGTCCGGCTAAAAAAAAAAAAAAAAATTACGAATATATATATAATATATATATATATATATATATATATATATATATATATATACTTATTTATAAAAATAAAAATTGTAACATAAATATGTTATAAAATCATTAAAAAATAGCCATTTTTTTCCAACACCCTCGGTGTCTTAACTTGATAAGACACCGAGGGTGTTGAAACGAAATGGCTATTTTTGTAGTGATTTTATAACATATTTATGTTATAATTTTTTTATTTTTTATAAATAATAATTATATCTGCTCTACTTTGTATTGAGCACTCTTTTAAGAATAGTAATTGTTGGTTATTGGAATTCATTCCGTATACACCAATTATATATATATATATATATATATATATATATATATATATATATATATATATATATATATATATATATATACACTCAGTATCACATAACCCATCTTTTGGTAAAAAAAAACAAATATCATTGTATGATTTGTATTTCCGAAGATATTTTAATATTAAAAAAAATATGTAATAATTGCATTCTAAATTCTCAGAATCAAAAAGTAAAAGAAAAAAAAGGAATAATTCTTATCCCCGTTCGTTTTTACTTTTAATTCTGTTGATAATTATTATTCCCGTTCGTTTTAGCTTTTTAATTCTGTTGCCAATTTCGTAACGCTATCCCTACTTTTAAAATTTCTGTTCTCTTGAATTTATTTCCATATCTATAATAAATAAAAGCGTAACTTTAGAAAAAATGAATTAAAAAAGTAAATTTAAAAGAAGAACATTAAATATTAAGAACAAAATTGTGCAAACACTGCAGAATAAATTCCTGTGGATTATTTAAGGATTTTTTAGTAGTTTTAATAGAACATACGAACATATAAGACATCTTTTTAGATATTGTTAATCGGAAATTTTTTAAATACATATATTTAATAACAGGTTTACATTAAATACAAGCATTTTGTATTTGTGTTTCTGTTGTAGGGATATAATCCTCTATCTATCTATACACACACAAACATATATATATATATTAGTTGTTTGTATGCGTGTGTGTATGTGTATTATTAACTAATTAATATTTTTCGGACATCTTACGGAAAATAATTTTTCTTCCATCTTTAAAAAATAACCTTCATTGTGTTTGGGTTTGTTATTAACTTTAAAAAAGTTAATAATTTTTAATTAAAGTTTTATTAAAGCAAAAAAAAAAGTATATTTTCGGTGTATCGGGTCCGTACCGATCCTTCAGTATCTGTCTATATTTCTAAGATGAGGTATTATGTAAACTATTTTCATTATTCGAACAATTGTCCTCATCTTTGTCGCCATATTTGTTACAAAGTTCCGGC